TCGGTCCCCCGGCGGGGAGAGGCCTCTCCCCCCGCGGGCTGCAGGCCGGGCCGCCCTGCCTTCACGCGTCCCCCACGCCGGGCACGCCTGGGCCTGGGGCAGGGCCAGGGCCAGGGCACCCACTCGTGGTCTTTCTAACTGCCTGGCACTCGTTCCCGTCTCGCCCGCTGGGATTCAGCCGTACTTGCTCTTTGTTCGGTTTGCACCTCGAAGATGGTCCGCGGCGTTGCTGTTGCTGTATTCCTTCCTCTGTTTTGCTTTGTGCTGCGTCTGCGAGAGGCTGTCTGTCGTCATGTCCTTGGTACCTCCCGAGTTGATTGTTTGTATCTTCCTTTGTGCTCTCTTTAAACATCTTTGCGCTCTTCCTCTGCTCCGCCCGGACTTGATGGGGTAGAAGCATAGGATTGTTCCCCATTGTGGTGGTCTTCCCACAGAAAATAACCGGTCTCAGTTACAGTACACGGTGTACCTGAGAAATCTTAAAATCCTGGACCGTGTCTGGTCTGTCTGTCAGTAGTGATTATTTAAATAGGCGCTAGTATGGGAGGTGTGAAATTGTCGTCTTAGGTCAGGGGACCAATACTAGAAGAGGTTTGTTTGGAATGTGTGCTAGATATCATCAGTTGCCTTTGGGAGGGTGGCAGAAGGCGCAGGACAGAAAAAGGAATCATACGAAATTTAACACATGCAGTTGCACCCACCTTCTTGCTGGGTTGACAGGGATCAGTAAGAAATGAAGGAAAATGGTCTGGTGGGTTGAAATGGGTTGAGGAAGGTGCTTGTTTGTATTGCATCAATCCATAGAGGTTCTGGCCAACCGTAGGAGCTCATAATGTTTGTTACTGTACCAGCCAAAGCAGCAGTGTCTGCTGAACAGGTTACTGAGTTATGTGAAGTGAAAAGTGAATATGAGAAGAGGATTTGGAAGACAAGGGTAACAGAAATGAGATAATATAGTTAAAGAAGTAAAACCCTAGCTTGCTGTCTTATTATAATGAATTTTTAGTGTCAGTCGCTCAGGGGAAGTTTAATTGATATAGCAATATCACTGTGGTTACTAGTTAAAGCTTAAAGCAAGTAGATGCATTTGGTCTGTCCTTACTCTTCATGGACTGATGAATCCTGTATTAGTGTCAGAATGAAAGCAAGTCCTTGAGATGAAGATGAAAGTTTAGATTTAATTAAATTACAAAGTCCAGGTTTGAGTGATACATGCTGCTTATGAGTCTCCATTTCAAATGTATATAGGAATGTAGATGAGGAATAGATGACAGGAAGAGATAAGAAATATTTATGCATATATCCAGTAATATAGTACATAAGACTTGCAAACTACATTTACACAAGGCAAATGGAAATATTCTCAGACGTCATCAAATTCTATAGAATGAAAACTTCAATTAAAGTCTTGGTAGTCTTGGTAGTTCATTTAGAAAATATTATGCTACTTTTGAATGCTCTATTTTGACACCTCTATTTTGACAAGGATTATTTGTTTATTTCAGAGAGTTCATTGGCTATCTAAAACAAGTTTGTGCGGGATATCAAAATACTCAAAATTGCACATTTGCTCCTGAAAATCTTGGTATAAGTCTGTAACCTGATACTAACGAATGTAATCTTCCAGTCAGATAAACAGTAAAGAGCCATGCAGTAGTAAGTTCCCAAATCTGCACAAAGTAATTCTAATGCTGCCATTAGTATGGTGTCTGCTGGGTTTTGGAGCAGAGATCTTGAGGAGGTTGTCACTTCTGTCCACGGGGGAGCCTCGGGAAGCCCTCTCTGGTACCCGTGGTCTCCCTTACGTAAGACCTTTTGCTGAAGTGGCAAACGTGGGATGAAGAAGGAGGTGGTCCGTTGCTGATTTCCCGAACAGCATTCCTTGGTTTAAAATGGACACTGTCAGGGTGAAGTGAGACTCTTAATTTACTTTTAATGTGCTTTCTCCTGCTAATAAACGCTAATGGACTGGCAAAGCATTTGTGCTGCTGGGTCTTGATGCACAAAGTTTAGCTGGTAAGCTCTGGGTAACTAGGGTATAAGACGTTGCAACTAAAGCGAGAAGTGGTTGGAAAGAGTGAGTAGTTAGAGCAGCGTAAGTAGGAGTGGTTTGGGCCTGGTAAACAAATCCATCTTTGTAGCGCATATTTCCAGTTCCTGAGTACACGTATATTAGTGAAGCTGCCCCGAGTTCTGCAGCTAATGGTGATCTACAGGAGGGTACTCTTCTTCCATCTCATACACGTGGCCATCTCAGCAATGTTGCTCCATTGTGTGGCTCTCAAGGGACAGGCTGTAGCTCTGTATCCCAGAGTGAGCTGATTGATGGTTCTGAGTACAAACCTACGTACACATCCAGCTGTGCTTTGCACATGGCGTGAGGTCGTTGCATGAAATCATGGGGAACTACCCTACCACTGCCACCCCCAGTCTCTTGGCAGCTGCTTTCAGTGCTCTTTAAAATAGTACGTATTTAAAAAAGCAACGTATGCTTTTCTCAGTGAGTATGCAAGCACGTGTTCTGTCATTTGAAAAAAAAATATTGTGATAATTGGATATAGCACCTGTCATAAGAATATACATTCCTTGAGGAATTATGGGAGTTCCTGGTGGGATGGGTGAAAAACATACATATTTCCGTAATTCTTTGTGCCTTTTATCCCACAGCGCCCTTTGAAAATAGTCGTGAAGGGATAAGATCGTATAGGAGATTACTTGATAAGGTCTTATCAGAAAGCTGGAGTGAAAGGTACAGGGACCGCCGACAATGGACAAACAACAGGTGGAGGGGAAACAGTGGTTGTGAAACAGTCAGTATGTGGATAACTGATAGGTTTGCATTAGAGAAATTCACACCTTTTTTTTTTTTTTTTTTCCTTTTTGCTATTCTTTGTGTCTCCCAGTGCTATGTTTAACTTTTCTAGCATGTGTCCATAAATATTTTTCATTGGAAATGTTATTTCTCTTTCATGAAAGCTATGTTTAAGGAAACAAAATAGAAAATGATTGTCAAACACTATTCCTATTGAACGGTTTATTGGGAAGCTTGGGGAAATTAAGTGGGTGGAGGCAGTACAGTAAAGATTATTTTCATGCCTATTACCCCGCACTTAAAAAAAATAAATCTGGTAAGAGTAGTATTCAAAATAGTAATTTTCCTGTGTTTTGATTTTGTACATGTAACTATTTACAGCTTCCTTTTGATACATTTTGTGTAAGCTGCCATAGGTAATGTTTCAGTGCATTGAAACACTTGCAGTTGGGGTTAGTTTGGGTGAACTGAGCTTCCCATCTCTGCTGGGGCTAGAGGAGGAGAGGGACAGGAATCAAAAGCTTTGAGCTAGAGTTGCCCTTTTGTTTTCACTGAGTTGGTATTAATTGAGGAAAGAGGGGCTTTTATGTTTTTCCCTTCATGGTGTATTGTATTGTATCATGTCATTAAATTGGGGAATGGTTTTCCTGAATTAAGGCAAAAGAAAAGAAATACATCAGTAATATATTCTCTTAAATGTTTTTGAGGAGCTCTGTATAAGAAAAGATTCAGAGATTCAACAGTCGGCTGTATACTACTCACTTTAGTAAAATTAATAAAAAAGAATGCTGTAGTTTGGCTTTTCTGACATAAGGACTTCTTAGTCTGGCGTAAGAATACTTTTTTTTTTTCTATAGTAAGTTCAGCTTAACCTTACTATAAGGTATTAGTATTCATTTGTGTTGTGGTGTCACCCATCTAGCTAAGTTTTAAAGTATTATTTTGCTTTGTACTTTTCAGACACATGAAAGTCGGTTAATTCTGCTGCAGAGATCTTGCATGTTTACGGCGGAAGAAGGAACAAACAAGGCAGGAGTGCTTGATGATAACACTGGCCAGAGTTGAGGAAGAATGTGGGAAGTGTGGTTTGTCTTACCTAGCCAGTGCCATCTGAGAGTGATTAAGAAATGTCACGGCAGAGGGATTTTTAAGGAAGGATAATACAGTGACCTATGATCATGTGATTTGCTTCATTATCATACAAATAATTATAATTTTGACACATGCACGCCTGTTTGCAGCCTAGCGAGAGAAGAATATCTCGGATGCCAGCTAAAGTGAGTGTGGTTAAGGAGGACTTTCTGGTAGTGGAGGCAAGTAGACAGCTGCATTTTAAAGAGGAAAAAAAATTGAACAGGGCAAGAGATAAGAGGATGGAATGGAGTGGTCAGGTTGGGGTAGTAATAATTATACCATGTTTAATTTCTTTCTGTTTTTTTTCCTTCTGGATTTGCTTTTGCACAATAAGAACACATGGTTTTGATTTGGACAGAGGGGGCGTGGGAGAAAGTATCTGACAAGAATTCTTCCGTTCAGTGCCTTAAGCAGAAGAATGGCCTAGTTTCCAAGCCTTATGGGTTCAAGAGTACAGCTGTATCTTTCTTAGCCACAGGAGATGGGCTTTAGCAAAGTGGAGAATGTCTGTGTTCTTTCCTTGTAAGATTATTTTCCTTGATCATAATTACACCATTAGGTCGTATGTTTGTTTGAATGGTAAGAACAGGGTATATTCTCCTAATCTTATTTTGAAGGTTTGTGTTTTCTCTATGCAGACTTTTTTTTTCTTTTGGTTCAGGTCTTGAGCAAGCTCCTATGTTGTGAGGTAAAACATACGTTTAGCTATAGCATTATGCACAGAGAGAACAAGGTTCATTTTGTTATGAAGTATGTTATCCATTTTGAAGTTAACCTTCTGTGTGAATCATAGAGTGTCATGGGACAGGTGATATAGATGTTTAGTTTCATTTTCTTTCTGTAAAGATAAATATTTTGGAACAAACCAGTGAAAATGTAGCTTCATGCCTCAGTGTTCTTTCTAGGTATTGTAAAAGAGTATATGAAGTTCAGAAAGAGTTAATGCAGTTTGATTGTGCTACTTGTTTCATTTCATACTTCATAGGTAAACATAAAGTTAGATTGTTTGTGGTTGGCGTTCTGAAAACTGTACTTACATGGTCAGTGGAGTTAAACGCTGAACTAGAACAAGAAGATTACGTTCCATGGAGCCTTGTTATCGGTGGGGTCTCTACCGTCATATTTTTCTGATCATGCAGACTTACTGTTTATATTAATATAGTTTTTTAAATTTTCTATCTCTGCACTTAAAATGTTTTAATCATCAGTAAAGGGAGGATTTTTTTTTTCCCCATGGCACCCAATTATATTTGGAAATTAATGTTTCTACTATAAATGTGGTAAGTTTCTACCATCACAATTCCTGTTGTTTAGCAGAGGGAGCTCCTGCTAACTTTTAGTTGATATC